AACTTGACAGAGCCCATGCGACCGAGTAACATGCTGCTGGTAGTCCTTTTGTATTATTCTCATATTGTGCCATTTCGATGCAATCATCAAATCTGGAAAGAAAGTCATTTTTCTGTCAAAGTTTGTCAACATTCTTGACGGCCCTCTTGAGACTGACTTCATGGATGCGAAGAAAAGTTGGGTTTAGAGGAATCTCTTGTTTCATAATTGTCGAGCTTACTTACATTTCGAGTGAAAGTGTTGCGTGAAGAGATTCCAAGGTCGGTTCCACCAGAAGACGACGACGACGAATTCCTCTTGACCAGCTGTCGATTGGCTTTACTGGAAGATTCATGCTGACGCTGTTTCCGAGGCGATCTCCTTCGATTCTGGCGAAAAGGTGCCAAGCTTTCGTCCGTCATATGACGAACATCTTCAGAGCAAGGTATCATCGTCACAACAAAATTCAAGTTAACGAATCAAGCAAACTCTTGACTCGGAAGGAAAACAACTATGGTTAAGAGTCAACAACAATTGTGGGACAACACACAAATTAGAGAAATGTTTATTCTTGATGCTTAAGAAAGTAAACAATAGACTCTTGAACACCGTGAAGGGGTGATACGAGGATATAGGATAAGTGAATAGGCCAGGACAAAAGAAGGGATACCACAACTTCAGAAAACTCTTGCCTCGACTCATTAGCTTGAATTTTGTTGTGACGATGATACCTCGCTTTGATGATGTCCGTCATATGACGGACGAAAGTTTAGCACCTTTTCACCGGAATAGAAGAAGATTGCCTCGGAAACAGCGTCAGCATGAATCTTCCAGTAAAGCCAATCGACAACTGGTCAAGAGGAATCCGTCGTCGTCGTCTTCGAATCTCTTCACACAACACTTTCACTCGAAATGAAAGTAAGCTCAACAATGACTTCAGTTAGCCAATGGAATGATACCATCGAGTTCGTGTGTTTGGATGTGTCTGTGTGTCTGTGTGTGTCTGTGTGTGTCTGTGTGTGCGTGTGTGTGCGTGTGTGTGTGTGTGTAATGTAAGTCTCGTAAACACACTAAAAAATACCGTGTCGAAAAGCTATGCTTCCCAGAAAGCCAGAAGAAAGCAAGCCCCAGAGGCAGTCGACTCACTCGGTTGCCCCAGAAGTAGTCAAGGCAATAGATCGCTCTGAGGTCGTCCACTTTTGCACAAACTCGTGATCCCCACAAACGCCATAAAGTGAACTTTCTCTTCTGCCCTCAAGCCGGCCTTCACAAACTGGCCTGTACAGGTCCTCCTTGAAGTGGGTGTTCCGGCGAAAGTAGCCCAGCTCGACTCATTTTGACAGTCTGAAGAGATGTTTACTCTCTACTGAGTTGTCTCAAAATGGCCCCTTCTGGCTGTCAATAATGCCCTGCAGCTGTACCAGTCTCTGCACGGCTGTGATACCCTCCTCACGCCTCCTGCCCTGGGTCCCACTTGGACAGCACATTCTTGGGCGTTATGCCATAAAAGTGACCAATCAGAATGCGTCACTGTTGCCTACAGAATGTGACGACGCCACAGACTGTGTGATGATATCGTGTTGGTGTGGCGTCCAGGGCCGCGCTTGTCTTTCCGCCACTCAACTCAGGCCCGTGAGGGCCAGAAAGGCCATTGTCAAAGATGGTGTATCCCTTTCAGACTGAAGGCGGTCTTGTTGCCAGTTGGGGCCTCACTTCAAAAGAGCGTGAGGCAGCCTCTTCACTTGGTAGGTTGTCCCAAACTGTAGATTGCCACTTCACCAGACCGAAACAGCCTTTGCCGATATGATAGACACGTGGCCCATGCGTTTGTACCGGCATAACTCCCGCCCACCAGGCAGCGGGTGTCAGGCAGAAACATCAAGTGCTCAACTGAGCACAACTTCTGCAATTGGAGACCGTCTTGACCAGTGTCTGGGAAAAGGTCGAGATCAGTCTTTGGCCCTGCCGGACTGGTCGTCATGACCTACAGTCCAATTTCCTGTCAATGGGCACGGCAACCGGTGGCCATCAAGGGCCCACTTTGAAGGTGCGATAATAAATTAGAAAACTAACTTAATAACTTGTTTATTGAATTAATGTTTAGTATTCATGGGCAAACAATTGGTCCGAGGCTATTTTGACAAACCGAGGATGCTGAGTTGTCATCAAAATAATGAAATATACTATGAGAGCCAATTGGTGAGGAGATTTTATCTTAATTCATTATAGGATGAATGATTCGGGGAGATCTGACCTTTTAGTGCAATCCGTCAAAAAATACTACTTAGTGAGTAGTGAGTCCGAAGATTAGTAAAGGAAAGGCAGTTCGCTTTGCCGACTTTGCTCAATTTGAATATACGAAGGGTAACTGGGTTTTGATGACTCCTCTGAGGCAAAATTGTTGCGGCGAATTTCATTTCGTAGGAAAGTGCAGCTATAAAATTGTTGAAGGTCGATCTCACCAGAAGACGACGGCTGACTCGCTTTATTCTGCAGCCGTTTGGCTTTAATACGACGTTCAATTTGACTCGGTCCATGAGACATCCTCCCTTGTTCCAGGTAAAAACAGGTTGAGCTTTCGTTTGTCATATAACAGACAACAATGGTATTGCGTGTAAAAGTTTATATATATATATATATATATATATATATTTATGTTATTTTAATTTTATTT